CTATCTACGTAAGGCTGATTAGGCGGAATTTTTATCAATATGAAAAAAAAAAAAAAAATTATGCTCAGGGCTGACGCTAAGGCATTTTGCCGCCCCTTGCAATATCTGGGGTACCTAAATTCTGCTGCCCAGTGTCTCCTTAAACTCTTAAAAATTTGACCTTCCTAAATTTTGCACTTTTTAATTTCTAAGAATCTTGAAATCCCTAAATTTTGCTTCTGTGAATTCTAAAACATTTTCTGCATCTAAATTCTGCCCCTCGATGCAGCCTGAGCGATGGCACCAGCTATGGGCGCTGACCCTTGAAAAGTCTTCTGTCTTTCCAGATGTATTCTCATCTGACTTATCCACTTTTCAAACGAGATGTCAAAGGTCATCTTTCAAATGTTGACAAAGTGTGTCTTATCTTCCGAGTTATCTTACGTCCATAAGCTGACGGTATCTGAGTCACCTGAGTATTCATTTATTACTTCTTACCCTGATCAAACAAAGTAATTTGCTTTAAAAAGTTTTCTGTCAGTACTTCATTGTTAACTGAATATTCCTTCTGACTATCTTTTTAACATTTAGATTTCAGGACACTATGGCTAACTGCTTACTTATGATTCATTCCCAGTGAGACTTCGAAAGTAAAACAACAGACATAGATACAGGAATTCAGATTCAAAATCGGGGACCAAGAATAAATGGCGTATGCAATGACACAATTTTTCTAAATCTCAAATTTACTGAAAAGTATTTAAACTAATGTATATTTATAATCAAAGTAAAATAATTAAATCACTTGAATATCCCCGCTAAATTTGAAACTTTTCACTGTAAGAAATAATAAATAATCATCAACTGAAAAACTTTCTTGCTGAAACTGAAAAAATTATATGGCTAAAATTTTTGCAAATTACAGGGATTTCTTCCCCTCTCCAGGGCTAGACAAAATGAAGGTGTAATGATCCGTTTACTAATATTTTTAAGGGATTTGTTTTTAATAAGTCTGACTGCCCCCCGGCCCTCAGCCGATTTCGGCTTGGCCACTTAAGGCCAGAGGGGGTGTTCACTTTATTAGTATTTAGGCACCTAATAGGCGGGGCACCTTTCCCTCCTATGAAAGGACGGACAGATATACAACCATACCTTCTCTGGGATTGGAGCCTGAGCACTTTGGTATTGCGGTCGGCTTCCCTAACCACTATACCGTCTGGGCGGCATAAGTCTGACGTATAAATTTGTATCTTACTGCACGCATTCCTCAAAGTTAAAAGTAGATTTGCTGCTTGAGAATAAGCAAATACATTATGTTAAGTGATGGTAATTTATGTAAAAGTTACCATTCTCTCTTTCTTAATATATTTTGTAGTAATGAATAGAATAATTCGTAACAATTTTTATACTAATTTTATAATAAACTAAAATGTGTGGGTGGAATTTGTTATTTCAAAGAGCTGGGAGTTTGCTGCCTTAAACAGATGATGAAACAACTTTTTATTCGTATAAAGTCATTTAGTTATCAGTATGTATGGTTGCTTTATAAAACACTCCGTATGATAAAAATGGCCAGCCAAATATAGACTAAGTCTGTACAAAATGATTTAGATAAGAAATGGGCAGCTGGTAACTTCCCCCCTCTTTTTAATACCTTCAGCAGAAACGATTTATATTTTTAATGTTATAATTGATTCTGGATCCCCTAGTGCGTATATATTTTTCACAATTTATCCACAGGACTTGTTAAAAACACATAAAACATCCTTACTGTAAACTGAAGTAAACTTGATGCTTCTCATAGATGTACAGAACGTTCTAACATGTATATTACACTTTAAAATTTGAGGACATGAATATGGGAGCTAGGGGTTTGGTGTTACAATTTTTGGAAAATTTAAATGCATTTAGGATTTCTTGATCATGACTGCTGCTTTTTTATTGCATAACTATCCCTTTATCATGTTCACAAAATAAACCCTCTGAACTGCAGTTAACACAAGCAAATTATAAATTGTTTACTTTCACACATTTAACGTGTGCTCACATTTTGCCATTTTAGTACTGTATCCATTCTTCTTCAGAGTTGTAGTGAGCATCTTCGCAAGTTAACAAAACCATTTTTTGTTTCGGAATCAGTGTCTAAGTTCAAAATCTTCTTCACCTATTTTATCGCTTCGTTTCCTTTTGGAAATTTTCTTTTAACCTTTCCCTTTCCTTTACTTTTCTGTTCTTTTTCATATTGTCTCTTATAAAGTATCTTTTCATATTCTTTTTCCATTGCTTCTTTCTTGAGAGGATAGAATTTCTTTTCCGTCGGCCTCTGTTAGACTGCTTCCGAGGTGAAGCCTTAGGGAGAGGTCTAATAGTAGATGGTGAAAATCGAATTTTACATTTTGGTTAAGAAAACCAAATAGAAAACAGTAATTTGCATGTTAACATTTAAAGGAGAAAAATCTAACTATATAAATCAAAATCTTGGGGCAAATCGTAGCACGTTGTATTTTGTCCCATCGTATGGTTTCGGACATTTTTGTTGATTTATAAAAAAGTATTGCGATAAGTAAAGAAATTAAAGTATCGTTTTAAAACTTAATACACAGACTTAATACATAAACTTAATACAAATAAATAAGTAAAACCATTTTAAAAAGATCAATTAACTTACTTTAAAAAAATGCTGATTAAAAATAATTAAAAACTACTACGCTACGCTACGTTTACTTGTTCCTACTTATCCCTATTACAACTAGTCCATCAAAACTAGCATACTAAATTTTTTAAGTTTTGTCTCTTACATCTGATCTCATTATCGTTCTGCTTGCAATTCTGCACCATTAAGATCGATAAACTGAAATATATATTGCTATTATACTGAAATAAATTACGTTTATAACTCCAAGGAATATTCCTAAATTCTGGCAAAGCCAAGCAAGCATTGTGCGTCTTAATTTGGCCTTCAAATTATACAGAAATTGGCTACCTTAAATAAAATTAAGCTCATTCTCCATATGTATCTTTAATTCATCGTCTGATTAAACTTAAATATAACATTTCATGGTTTTTTACATATAAAGAACATCTTATTTGCTATTTAAAATAAAAATTAAATCTACGAGCTTTCAGATTTTATACTGCGCACAAAGGGGCCTTTTTATAACGTTTTGTGTGTCACCTTTATTTATTAAATATCATACTCTTATCACTTATCACAGCCACATAAAATTCAATTCAAAAGCAATTTCACAAAATGGTACTTTTCCGTTTCAAAGGCGCAAATCTCGCCAAGCAGACTTTATTGACGACAACATACAATATACACATAAAAAATGTTAACAAATATTAGTTCTTAAGAATGTTTTATTTTTTATGGTTCAACGTCCTGATGCGCCGGTTCATATCACGTGACCCCAAGTGATCTCATCTCACGTAAACTACGCTACAAAAATATAATTCTCTCAGTAATTATCGACATTAATTAAGTTAAACCTTAATTTGGAATACAAGTTTAAATGAAAGAATTATTTCAATTCGTACCCAGAAATTATGTAACCCAGAAATTATCTTCTTATTATTCTGGGTAGAAATCTTACCCAGAAATTATGTAAAACCGCAGTGCTTTACTTCGCTAGTGCATTCTCATTAGGATTGATGAATTTAACCCTCGTCTTTTCTATAATTTCGCCTTCGAGGGAGCAGTGTGATTGCATCCTAATTGACTTAATTACCGTGAATGGCCTTAAGGCATAAAATTGAACTATCTGGTAAAAATTCTATGTAATTGTATGCCGTTATTGAAAGAAACAATCAATCTGATAAGAAATAGCTGTGACTTGTTTTGAAAAATGACGCGTAAAAGGTTATCAGCGAGGATATTCAGTTTGGCATCAGTTGTGCCATTATTGGCGACTTTATCGCCTGCGCCGGCAAAACGGAAAAGTACCCACAAAAAAAAAAAAAAAAAAAAAAAAAAAAAAAAAAAAAAATTAAAAATAAAAATAAAAAAATAAAAAACAGCATATATTTAGAATTTTCTATGGACAGTCTCGCATGCTGAAGATAAAAATGTTTTATTCCGTACAGTGTTGCCACAGCTCGCTTTGAAATCGTTGAATTTGTTAATCAGAAATCGCTTAAAGGTCCTACAAAATATGAAATGGTTTATAAAAGAAATTCGGAATTCAAAATTCGGGCTTCCAGATGCCCATGTTCGGGTCGAGGATTAACTCATTCAAAATTTGATGGTTCTAGGTACCGTCGTGTAGTGCATACATGTATTAAAGCAGATTCCTCATTATTTAATTTCTTTAAATATAATGACGTTAATAGGATTAGGATTGAATTATTCAGTTATGGCAAAGCACACGAGGGCTAACTGCCTAAAGGGAGGGATACCTTCGTGGAGGACTTTCTAAGGGAAACTGGCTCGTATACACGTAACACATGGGGAAAACCACGAAAACGCCCATGCAGCCAGCCCGTTCGCGGAATTCGAACCTCGGACCGAACTACCAGTGTTCAGCGTCTTTACCTCTCGGCCGCTGGTGAAGCAGTACGTTAATATTTAGGGGCAATAATTTACAAAGTGACGCGCCGTTTATAGTTAATGCCGTTTAGAAATTAATAGCCCTTCTGGGTTAATGCTCCTTTGGGTTAAATAAACGCGCTTTGGTGTGACTTTTTTTTAAACTAGCTCAGATTTTTCATTGTAGGAAAGGATTCATAGGTGTAATATTCCCCAAAGTGTATCTAGTTCCAAACCATTCTTTTTTTTTTTTTTTTTCCAGATTCACATGTAGATAGTAATATTGCCCTCTCAAGCAACATTTGAGTGTGTTTCTAAACAAACTTTTATAAACATAGAGCAAACAAGTTAATGTGGGAAATCTTCTAAGTCATCAAAATATTTATTTTATAATTTAGAGAGACTTAATATATAATCTAACTTTGAAGTAAAGAGAATACACATTTTTCTGTTTATAAGTTTCAATTACCTTTTTCTTCACATCTATGTTAAAAAAAAAAAAAAAAGAAAAAAAAAAAAAAAAAGAAAGAAAGAAAAGAAATAGAGAAGGGGAATACAGTACAAATCGTCGTATACCGTTGAACCATATTTTTTTTATTTAAAAAATCATACAAATTAGTATTGTGCTCGGTTTGAATTTTCACTACACATTATAGAAAACATTAAATCCATTACAAAACGTCTTAGAAAACGTAATTCTGGCTCAGATTGGAGTTAACCCGGAAAATGTAACTTCGGAAAATAAAAGCTAATTCCAGTAGTTACAGTCCTTTAAATATAGCGCAATAGCACATTCAGCGGGTAAAGAATAGTATTATTTAGAAAAGTTAGGATTAAGGCAAATTTCGAGAGAGTTATTTGTCTAAAATGGGAATCTTTTGTGAAGGATTCTACTGAAAATTAGGTGATGTTCTCAATACACATGGAAAAGACCTCTAAATGCCCATGCAACCAGGCCGTTCGACGCAGATCTGAACCCGGTCGAACTATTAGTAATCAGAGGGCTTATCCACTTGGATTAGTGAACGGAAGAATGTGGAGCCATTCTAGATTTAAAACCAGCAGAATTAATATAGAATTAGTCTTATACTTACGCTTACGCTTTTTACTTACGCTGAACAAACGATATCCGGTATGGCCGAGCTTAAGGTGATGTTAGGTGTTGATTTCAAAGGATGCTGCCCGTCTACTGGAATGCATTTGAAAACTCTGCATGAACCGTCCACGTGGCGGAATGAATAAATTTCTCCGTAGCTTCCTTCGGCAACTTTTGTGGCATACATTTGTTGCCTAAAAAGAAACATGACATATACGCTTACCCGGAGTGCAAGAAAGAAATATAGAAGGAATTTTAAGGAAGATTTTAAAAGGAACTACTCAAATCTGAAAGAGATTTTGCAGAGACAATAATGAAGATTATGAATACGAATAAGGATAGAATTGAAATTCGGCACTGATTTTGAACTTCATGTTTTATATATATATATATATATATAATATATATATGTTATTATATATATATATATATATATATATATATATATTAAGCTTAATGATATATAAACATTTATATATATATAATATGTTTTATATGTATATATATATATTATATTCTGGCCAGTCCCATTTTTTGATCATACGGCCGGCTTATGCTGGCTAGGAGAATCGGGGGCTGTGCCCTTATAATGATAATGATATAGTGGACGCCGCTTTATGTGATGGCGATTAATATTACCATTCTGGTATTGTTATCGATTCTTGAAGTCCCACCCTTTTGTATACCAAAACATATAAAATTCGTCGCTGACTGTGATTAACAGTTAGGTCAATATGATTAAAATATTACAGAATAAACTTTTTTTCAACTGAAGTAAAGTCGCCAAATAAGCTTAAAATACATTATAAAAATGGACAGATTAGAGAGAAATGTCGCGAAGTAAGACCTCTTGGTTTTAGTCATCCATTTAAAATTAGGGGGCGGAAGGGACTTTGACGTAGATTATCAATAACTATCGATTTTGAAGTGATAAGACACAAGTCCTTCTTCTCCAAGAGCAATAATTTTCCCTCCCTGAAAATATCTGCACTAAATTTTGCCTAATTTAAAATTTTACATTGGCAAGTCCTCTTCTATTGAGAAATGCCATCCGAGTATTAAGCTTAATGATAGAGTATTGGTCAAAAAATTTCTGGAAATCTTATTGAAAAGTTCATAAATAAACTGTTCCATTTTCCTAATTAAAAGGCGGATAAAGTGCCTATTTATATCTTTCTATTTATATTAATGTTAAATTAGTTAAATTCCATTGTTGTTTTGAAGAATACTGTTTCTCATCGTTTAAAGTTGTCAAAATAGTCGTAGAAAAAACGATATTAAAAGATGCCTATTTAATGCTGATAGGGTAAACTTTTTCGAAGTTTGTCAAACAAGACTGTATAAAAATTGTCACGTTTTGATCACGAATTCACGATTCTATTTTTCACGAGTTGGGAGAGCATCAAATTAATCAAGAATATACTAGTATAATCAAGAGTCAATATACCATTTTCACGTAAAGACTCAACTTGAAAATGAGAACTTCCAGTTGAAACACAGAAATATTTAATGAAGAGCTTATGTACATTATTTACATTATTGAAAGCACAAAATATACATATAATATAAATTTTCCCATCATAGGGCCAAGATTAGTTTATCAAGAACAATTATTATAATTGTTGATTACCGCTATGCGGCCAAGAACAGATCATTTCAAGCGTCGAACTCAAGCTTAACTAAAAGAGTTATTACATTCCTTCTCTGCCGCCAGTCACGTGACCTAGTCGGCGACAGACGATAAAAAATAAAAGAAAAACTGAATCCATCGGAGGGAAAAAGAAATAATTTCAACAAACTCCCCCCCCCCCGATGAACAATAGGTTCATCATAAATTTAACTATTACAATATTACTATAACAATAAGAAACAAATAAAAATTACTTACATATACAGGTCACATTATATCAATAATTTCTTAACATCAAGAAAATTTTTTCTGAAACTATAGAAAAAACAAAACATTTAAATTAACATTTCTCAAGATCACCACAAATCATTAAACCAAGGAAAATAATAATGAATAAATGAAAACATTATGAAAAAGAACATTTTTTTTTTTTTTTTCATCAGTTTATCAGTCATTCAGTCCAATTTTTTTTTTTTTTTTTTTTTTTAACCAGTCACTGATTATTGCAATTACTGATATCATCAATTTCTAAATTGTATAATAGCTGCACTGGACGTTTGATTACCGAATTACCAGTTTTCACTTCACACGATCTGATCATTCCATCTCTACCAATAAAGGTTTTGGTTATTCTTCCTAATTTCCACCAGCTTCTAGGTAAATTTTCATCATGAACAAGTACTATATCATTTACGTTGAATGCAGATGGTTTCTTCTGACCGGTATAATGAGCAGATCTCAAGCACAGGAGATATTCTTTTTTCCATCTGTTCCAAAAGTGATTTATTAGATTTTCTCGTGTACGGAAACGTTTTAACATTACTTCTCTGGAACCTGGTAAATTCAAGTCATTCCTCCTTACAGCTGGCAAACTCAAGAGTCGTTTACCAATCAACAGGTGGGCTGGAGTAAGTGCGGAGGGCTCTTCAAGATCAGAAAAGACGTATGTTAATGGACGCGAGTTTATCATCGCTTCTATTTCAAGCAAAAGCGTTTTAATTCTAATTCACTTTGAGTCAAAGATGATTTCCCAATGTTCTTTCTTAAACTAGTTTTTACACTGCGAACTAAACGTTCATAAAAACCGCCCCACCAGGCAGCACGTTCCACAATGTATTTCCATGTGATTCCATGCGAAGCATAAAATTTTTTAACTTCAGGGTGGTTAATCACTTTCCACATTTGCTTTAATTCAAGTTCGGCTCTTTTAAATGTTCTAGCATTGTCCGAGTACACAGTGGAACACAAACCTCTTCGGGATACGAACCTGCGGAACGCAAGTAAAAATTCTTCAGTGCTCATGCCTTTTACGAGCTCAAGGTGAATAGCTCTTGTAGTAGCGCAAGTAAACAATAAAATGTAGTATTTGTTGTCATTTTCTTTTACATACAAAGGACCTGCAAAATCGAGTCCACAAATTGCGAAAGGTGGAGATTCATTAACTCTATCCGCTGGAAGAGGTGCAGTGATTTGTTGTCCAGGACGTACATTATATTTTTTGCATATTAAGCATTTACTCAGGATTGATTTGACGTATTGTTTTCCTCTTAAGAGCCAGAATTTTTCACGTATATGCACTAGAGTATCCGATACACCCGCATGATAAACCTTTTCATGAGCGTCTCGTACTACTAATTCACTTAATTTATGTTTTGAAGGGATTACTATTGGATGTTTGTTGTTAAATAGTAGGTTTGACTTTTGTAACCGACCTCGTACCAAAAGTAGACCTTCATCTGATAATATGGGATTTAATTCGAACAATTTTGAATCTTTTGGAATATGCTTGTTTTCTCTTAGAGACTCTATAACTTCAGGAAAACTATCTTCTTGAGCTTGTTTTAACCAAAAGGTTTCAGATTTACTGATTTCTTCTGCTGAAATTTCCGCAAAATTTCTATTTTCCCTTTTTACTTTTAAATTTGATATAAATCTGAAAATCCAAGCAGTCACACGATAAAGTTTTTTCAAGGAACTAAATTTTGTCAAATTCATGAGTGGAACATTTTCAGTTTTGTCTGTTTTGATCAAACACACGCTAGGATAGCTTCCGATTTTCGAGATTCTTCTGATACATCATGTAATTTTGACGTCGATAGTTTGGGTTTTGGCCATTGACTTTCAGGTAACGAAAGAAATGCAGGGCCATGCCACCATTTCGAAGAATTTATCAGTTCTTTTGCAGAACAACCCTTTGTTATTAGATCTGCAGGGTTGAGTTTTCCTTCGCAATGTCTCCATGAACAAGGATCTGAAATTTCATGTATTTCTGAAATTCTATTAGCAATGAAAGGTTTCCATCTTTTAGCTGTACCTTTAATCCAATGTAGAACTATTTCCGAATCTGACCATAAAATGACATTTGAAATATGTAGAATATTTTTCAGGTAGTTGGCAACCCTAGCACCCACCAGTGCTCCCATCAATTCAAGGCGGGGAAGCGTTAATTTCTTTAATGGTGCAACACGTGATTTTGCCAAAACAAATGTAGTTTCAAATTTATCTTCATCAGTTCTGTATCTCAAGTATGCGACTGAGCCATACGCATTCGGATTAGCGTCACTAAAAATGTGTAACTGAACAGTGTCCCTGTCTAAATTTGGTACATGAAAATAATATCTGGGAATTTTCAACATTTTAAGTTCTTTTATTTCAGAGAGCCATATTTTCCAGTCATTTTCGAGTTCTCCAGAAAAGATCCTCATCCCAAGGTACCCCTTGAAGCCATAGCTGTTGCAATAAACATTTAATTCGAATTACAAAGGGTGCGATAAATCCAGATGGGTCAAAAATTTTGGCTGCTATTTTTAATACATTACGTTTGGTACATTCAGTGTTTATAGAGGACAGTAAGGGTGTTAATTCTAGTCCTAAGACATCTTCATCATTGTTCCATATTAAACCTAGTACTTTTAAGGATGTACATGGAGTGTCACTATTGAGAGAGATTAACTTTTCCTCAAGCCATTTCTGCTTAAGCTCTAGGGAATTGGTTTCGAATTTTCTTAGATTTAGACCTCCTTCAGCAAGAATTTTAACAGATTCATTTGATAGATTAAGCGCTTCTTCAACAGTTGTCGCTCCAGAAAATAGGTCATCCACGTAAAGATTTGAGTTAAGCATTTCAAAAGTCTTAAAGTTAGAATTCTTGTACTTATCAATGTGATGTTTTATTGTGCAGGCAAGGATGAAAGGACTACAAGTTACACCAAAGGTTGCTCTTGTCATTTTGTAAGAAATTACACTCTCTTTTCTATCAAGGTTTTTAAAATAAAGAAATCTCAGATAATCTCTGTCTTCTTCTGCGATTGATATTTGAAGGAATGCCTTTTCGATATCTGCCGAAAAGGCGATCCTATTTTCGCGGAATTTCAAAATAACGTCCAAAACATTTGGATTTAGATTTGGCCCTGGGTGAAGACAATCATTGAGAGAAAGAGCATCATTTGATTTTGAAGAAGCATCGTAAACGATGCGTACCTTTGTTGTTGTTTTGTCGTCTCTAATTACAGGATGGTGAGGCATATAATAAGAATTAAGTGTCGAGCTGTTTTCAGGGCATAC